TCAATTCAATGAAATGATAGGTGTGGCGCACATAAACAGTCGAGTATGTGGAATAAATATTTATGAAGCAGAGGGGATTAAAACTGCACCATCTGTATGCCCCTGCGTTACCGGGACAGGAAGTGATGTTCCCGAATACCCTGAAAGGTGTCTCCAATTACGCCTGTGCAAAATAAACTGCGCTGACGTGTTTGTGCTGCTGATTGATTGTCTCGCTGGCTTTTTGGTGCCGAATTATATGCACATTAGGACTTGACTTGTGAAGGTGTGTGAATGTAATGTTTTCTACTTTGATGGTGGTATTTGCTGCTCTCTAGTTCAATTTGGTGATTTTACTTGATCTACTTATGCAGCAGCTTCGAGCTTGTGCATGATGACAGGTGTGGCTGCTTGAGCTCTGCTGCGACATTACTAAATAACACAGTTGTTACAACAATAACAGTTTAGTTTGGAGCATTTACAGACAGTTTGCAGTAGAGCTTTAAAATGAAATTATACTTAACGTAATGTATTTTGCTAAACGCAAGAGCAACCAAGGTTATGTTACAGAAGGACGGAGTGTATAACATTGTTGTTGTGTTTATTGCTCGCAGTGGTGTTACGAAACTATACATTTACTCAAGTACTGTACTTGAGTACAATTTTGAGATACTTGTACTTTACTTGAATATTCAAAAAATACTCAAGTAAATATCCATGTTATGCTACGTTGTACTTCTATTCCACTACATGTCAGAGGTAAATTGTGTACTTTTACTCCACTTATTTAATTACTTTGCAGATTTTGATTAATGATGTGAAATATAATCAACTCTTAAATCAGGCTTTAGTTACACCTGGAGTAAATTCACAAGCTACCCTGCAGTATACAAAGTCATTAAAACTAACTGCAACTTTACCAGCTTTGATAACACTTTAATGATCAATCATTATAAAACATATCATATATATTATTGTGGAATGGGTCAATCTGCACAATGAGTACTTTTACTTTAAGTACTTTAAATATATTTTGATGCTAATACTTTTGTACTCTTACTCAAGTAACATTTTGAATGCAGGACTTTTACTTGTAACAGAGTATTCCTACACTCTGGTAATTCTAATTTTACTCAAGTACAAGATCTGAGTACTTTTTCCATCTCTGATTAGTTGTGCATACCTTTGTTAAACTCATGTTACACTAAAAAGTTAAATGGAATAACATTTTGAATTTATTTAGATTATTTTATTTCTGGGAGTTTATTTGTATTGATACATTTTATTTTTTATTTTGTATGTATAAAGCAAATTTCTCATTATATATAATCTTATAATTCTCATATAAAACTTACACCTGCCTCTAAGTATTCTTACCATACAGATCATTATCATATCTTCAGTTGTATTTGTGACCATACAGTATTGTTGGTTTTGATCTTGTTCTGTTATTTCAGATGAGTGTTGAAGTGGAGAGAAAATTTGTGTGCAATGCCGACACTCTGAAAACCCTGGAGGAGATCGGGGGTATGTGTTTAATGTGTCTACTACAACATTACTCATGTGTAAATTATGAACTGAGGCATTTACATGATGCTTTGATCCACATCCATTTTTAAATCTTCACTGAAGGAATTTAATGATACTAATTGCTGTGGATTGCACTGTAACTGCAGTGACACTGGCCATCTGTCTCTTGCTAATAATGACGTTTAAATAATCAGAATCAGCCTCGTTAGTTTTTTATATTTAGTTATACATTTTTTCAATAATCTATTTCTCTTCCTCTTTTTTATTCAGCAGTGTGTCTTGGTCAACGGCAGTTTTGTGACCAGTACTTTGACACCCCAAAGTTTGACCTTACTTTGAAAGACATGTGGCTGCGTAAACGTAAAGGGTGCTGGGAGCTGAAGTGCCCAACAACAGCGGACAAGGCAGAAGAGACGTCTGGAGAACAATCTAGAGCAGCAGCAATGTGTTCCCGCTACAAGGAGATAACAAATCTGCCTGAAATTCAACTGAGAGTTAAAGAGGTCATAAAAGACGTTTGTGAGGACAGTGAGACGGAGACGAGCCCCTCGCAAGAGGAGGAGTCTTGGATGAGCAGAAATAATCTTGTGTGCTTTGCAGAGTTTACAACAGTAAGGAAGTCGTTTACTTTAGAGGAGGAAGGGGTGCAGGTAGATCTTGATGAAGCTGACTTTGGCTTCCATGTGGGGGAGATAGAGGTCCTACTTCCAGAGGGAGGAGATATGCAGTCGGCCCTGAACAAGATTCAGAGAACGGCTGGAAAGCTGGGTGAGCTCAAACCTGTCAAACTGCCCAATCCTTAAGTCATTCAGAGTCATTATATACCTGCAATATGACATATGTTGCTAATCTCTAAATATGTTCTTCCTTTTTACAGGTCTGACTGGAGATAAGCGTGTTGAAGGAAAAATGCATGCTTACCTTAGGAGTAATTGCCCAGAACACTTTGCAAGACTACTGAGCGAACATATTTTGTAGGACATATCTGTAACACAAATGGTTAAATTGTTTTTAAGATGTACATAGTCATATCTGTGTAAATGAGCCTTTTACATTTTATCTATGAATTGTCCAGACTTAGTATATGCACTTACTGTAAAGACCTCAATCCCCCATCCTGCATTAGGAATTTTAGAAAACAATAGGCCCTTGAAATGTACACTTGCAGGTTGGTTAATGGTTGTGTCCTACACGCAACAGTTATATTTTTGTCTGGCTGTAATATGGAGAGTGTGAGAGGAAGTGTGAATACTGCAAATAAATGTGGGGTGCAATACTGTTCACTGCCTTTAACAATGATTGTTTTGTACTGTGTTGTATTAAATAACAGATGTTCAGACATTTATGACACTCCCTGAAGAAGGTGATAGGGCAGAAATGGCTATTTTTTAAGCTGACTTCAGCAGCTGGATTATTCTTGTCTATCGAGAGATGATTGAGAGGTGGAAATATATCTTCCCCTGGTCTTACATCATCAAACCTCCTGTGTGATTCATTTTTCTGCAGCTCCACTCGGCAGTAGATTCTATAAATATGTAACTTTTATGTTGATGTTTCTATAATTTGCATTATAATCAATCAATTGGCCTATATTTGAGCTTTACGTTTTAAAAGAACATTTGACTTGTGTATTAAATCATAGCGTGTTTTTTCATTATGATGTGATACGTTAAAGTAGCCGCTACAAGAGCAAAAGGCAGCATGCTCATTTGAAGCAAAATATATCTCATTGTAATTAATATGCAGACGCTGCAGGAGTCTACTGCTGTGTTTTCATCTAGGACTTCATTTAAATCCGCACAATCATCCATATCTGCAGTACTGCAACAACAACACTGATTCCTCCATAAGAGAGAGAGAGACAAAAGATGGGTTACCACTGTCAAGCATTGATCGTCGTCTTCAATTTCAGGCTGTGACCAATCAGTCGGAGGTGAGAGCTTGAAATCAGCCCTCCGCTGGATTGCTCTGTTGATGATGTCTCTACTGTACCAACACCTGTTTTTGGGACCTTTCTCTGGACACCTGTGACACACACACAATAACAAATTGTAAACAATGAATGGTAATGTGATACATAGGCAACTTCACTCCGAGAGCAATCATCAGTCATTTGAGAGGAACACACCAACGCTTCTCCTGTGTATCAGTCTGCATTCGGACAGCTGGAGGCCAACTTCATGCACAAACATTAACTTACCCTGCACATCTGGCTTTCTTTTCAAACTTAATGCAGCTGCATCCTTCATACAAGATAACACAAAACAATATTCTACTTTACATTTTGCATGAAACACAGTAATTACAAGTGTTGCATAAAGCATGAATGAATATTGATCATATGTTCAACCTTTTGAGACCGCCTTAAGGTCACCTTTAAGCCTATGTTTACATGTTCAACCCACCTTTGTTTTTGGCACAACAGACTGCACAGACAGAGAATGTCTTACTTTGATAGCAATACAGTGCTGCATTAATGTAGAACTTTTTTACTGGATGAATTATTTACAAATAATTAACATATGGAAACAATCGTAACTAAAATGAGCATCTCTGCTTCAGCTGAGGGGTTTTGGCAAATAATGACGTGAGGCACCTGATTCTTGTTTGCACCCCAGAACAGCACAGTCTTACATATTAGGGGAGATTTCTAATAACAGGCCACATCACCAAATATCCACCTTGAACTGCTTTAACCTAAATACCCCTAAAAATGTCGACACATTGACCCTTGTGTGAATATGCACATTACATATTGAACCATGATTGGATTCACATTCTGTGAGATACCTCCAGATTTACATCCCAAACTATTACTAATGCAGCAAATTGCTTCTCAATTGAACAGCTTGTTGCGACATTGAATGTTTTTGTTTGACTATTTATATATGCAGGGCGTGACATGACATGACATTTCAGTTTTTAATTATTCTTCAGTTGAACAAACAACAAGACAGTGAATCTGTGGCTTGGGACCAGGTGATCCAGCCTGGCTATAGTATAAGGCAAATGTCAAACATGTATGGATTATGAGATTATGAACACATGCCTTAAACAACAAATGTGCTGCAAATTCAAGATTGCCTCTAAATTGTGACATCTTTTAATGTGTTCAGGAATTTGGACTATATCCTTTATTTCTTATTTATTTTTTACGTGATCCTTAAAGAGCACACACAGACATCTACCAAAATCAACTCATCTTTGAAATGCTCAGAGGCATATTTTAACATTTGAACATGTTATTATGCTAAAGCTGTAAATCCTAAAATCTTATTTTTGTTTCTGGTTTCTGCCTTTCACTTTATAGTTTACTCTGTATATTTGTTTTAATTGTTAGTTTTGTGAAGCAGTTTTCAAACCTCAACACTGCTTTGTTTTGAACTATGCAAAGTGTCCCATTGATTTTCAGTTAACTTGTTATCAGTACATCTGGCAGGAGCGACAGCGCGGCTGATCACGTGACAGCGAAGGGCAGGGGCACGCGCAGGGTTTTTTCACACTTTTGTAAACAACATGGCGATTCACGGACTGGCCCTGCTAGCTTACTGATAAAACACTGTGCTGCCAAACGTCAGCCATTGTGTGTGATACACGTTATATATTAGACCTTGCGGGAGTCACGCGTTTGCTTTATTGTTAAGTTCGCACCGAGACGACAAAGAGTTTGGCCGACGAGCTGTCAAGAAGAGCGTCTGACAGTCAAACGGTACCTTTAGCATCTGAGCTAGCTCTGCAACACCAACCTCTGCACCTCAATCATTAGAGCTAGCGTACTGTACACTGATGCTGGTCGATTTGTTTTCAGGACATGGAGTTTGAGTATTTGAAGAAGTGGTAGTACAATGGCTTGAGCAACTAACTGGAATTGACGATGACAGTTTAGCTAAAACAAAGCTGTCTAGTTCAGCCATTTTTACCTAACTTCTGGTTTCTCTTTTCCTTTATTGTTATACGACCTGAGGTACTTGGTGAATAAGATAAAAACTGATAGAACAAGTATTCAGATCTCTGACTTTAGTTATAATATCAATAGTATATATTAAGAACAATGAATACATTGAAAAAGTATTAGCATTCAAATATACTTCTAATAGCAAAAGTAAATGTTGTTTTGATGCACTGAATGTCCCATTTCAGAATCATATAATGATGGTTTTTTAAATATAATTATTGATGCATTCATTTGTAATTACTTAATATTGAAGCTGGTTGAAGGTGAAACTTTAAATACTTCTGTGTGGTTTACAAAAATAAATACATAATTATTTATTAATTGATGTATAATTTGTTGTCAAGTGACTTTTAAAGTTATTAAATTAATGTAGTAGAGTAATAGGTCAAACATTTCCACCTGAAATGTAGTGAAGTAGAGGTATAAAGCAGGATGAAATAAAGTACAAATATCTGTAAATAAAGTAGAGCACATGAGTAAAAGGGAATTATTTAGAGACTTGATTTAAACTGCGAGCCATCATTTCCAATTAATACACATTATTACCCTGTTATTTGTGTACATGGCTTCCCCAGGTAAATCTAAAACTGTCATTTAATTTCCAAATGATTCTCCCTGCCAGGCCCTCTTCAGTCTATGGGCTCTCAGTCCAGTTCTGGGATGTCTGGAGGAAGGGGCTCTTCCAGTGGCAACCCAGCTGAGCAGTCAGACGCAGCAGAACCGAACCAGAGCAGCAGCAGCAGCAGCAGCAGCAGCAGCCGGGGCCGCAGGACGGCCGACAGGCAGCAAGGAGACCGACCGGCAGCTTCAGAGGAGGACGTTGACTTAGCTGAAGTGCTGGCTTACCTACTGAGAAGGTGAAGAGAGAGGATGTTTTAGTGGCCTTAATAGTAAAACACATCAATAACATGTGTACTTTGCACCTCTGTGCCCAGTTTGTTGTTTGTCTCTATTCATTTTTAACAAAAGCGTTCAATCAGTAAAAAATGGTATTTAATATTTTCTGGCGTCTTGTAAAGGTAGCGTGAGTGAATACTTAAAACATGTACCAACTCATCCCTTGACATCCTGTTAAATCTACAGACCATCCTAAATGTCTGTCAAGGGAACAAATATTGTAAACCGCTCATTACATTGCATCACTAAAGCTAAGAAGTGTTGGGGGAATTGGGGAATTTCCAATCCTTATACATGTTTGATTTTTAAAGCCGTTTAAGTGGCTGGGAAATGTTTGAATATTCCTCCTGTGAGCCACCACACATTTAAGCACTGATCCTTAACAGCGGCAGGTCCTTTGATCCTCCATGTGTTACATTGGAGTGAAAAAAACATTACAAGACTAAATCTTTACCCACAACACAATGGCACTTCTGCTAGCTTGTCTCCCCATTGTGCTGCTGCTGGACCAATCTGTTGTCTGAATGAACATTTAAGTATGAGTAAATTCAACACTCTGTTCCAATTTTCTCCGATTTCCCTTGAAATTATTTTACATGCACAGTATTTCCTGTGGAGGAGGGTTATATTATTTCCATTGTGTATCTAATTTGGATTGAATGTGTTTATGTGTTTGCAGGGGCCAGGTCCGCCTGGTCCACGGCAGCGGGGCCACAGGCCTGCAGCTGGTCCAGTCGTACTCTGACTCTGACGAGGACAGCGACGGAGCCTGGGAAGGTCGGCTGGGCGACCGCTACAACCCCCCAGGTAACCTCCCACTGACACTGTTCACTGTAAAGGTATAAAGGTAGAGCGATAAATTATATATATTTTTTTTCTCTGACATTCTTTTAAAACACACATATCTACTTCCTGTTTTAATTAGCTGTGTTTTGGGACACTGCACTTCTGTTTGTCTTCTGTTTGGTTGGAATCAGTAGCGTAGGCAGAAATATACTTTAGGGCGGGCCTGTATAAAATAGGGTGGGCTGGCTTTTTCCAGGGGGGAAAATGACTTTAAGGTAGGCCTGGACTATAATAATAATATATAATAATGCCCATTGCCAAGCATCGTTGTAGCATTTCCCTCCGAATAATGGTCGAAGACTTGACTGATGATATTAATTTATTGAAATGTCCAATATCAACGTAAGAGCTATAAAGACACAAAAATAACAAATACATTTAGGCTCCATTCGTATTAGAATCACTTTAGCATACTACCAAATGTTAACTGTAAACAGACAGCAAAGCTACAAAACAGCATACAAACGAATTAGGACACAACCTACAAGTTTATATTATAGTTAATACCAACTTTGTGCCTCTTTGGAGGGTGCTAAACTTAAACATAAACGTTATCTTTTACTTTCTCCGTCTTTATATGTAGATTAATCTCCGCTCCTTTCAGTTTCACAGAACACAAATTGGGATATTTACTCTTGTATTGCACTAACAGCAACAATAGGTTGTAACATTCAAACCTGCTCATGGACTTGGTCCTCGCTTTTTGTATGTCTCTCCAACGAGTTACGCTGTGCTTCCAGTCTACATACCCATCGTAAATGCACCTTCAGCTCCTGGGCTGGGGAAATGTCTGCACATTTTGCAGAAAAGCGCGTCCCTACTTGCGCTGTATTCCACACAGGGAAAATCTCCATACCAACTCGATGAGAAGCACCTTGCTTTCCCAGGATTTAGAGTGTAAGGGGACTTCTTGAATTGTGGCTGTGAAGGCGGTTCATCAATTGCAGGCAGACCAGCGGGTAGGCCCACACCTGCTTCATGCTGACGACCGGGAGCGGGAGGGAGCACTGCTAGCGCCGTGGAGCAAGAGGCCGTAACAGTCTCCGGACTAGTCGGAGAGCTTGGCCCTGGATCGCTGCTGGATGAGGGCAGTGGGGGCTCTCCTTGGAGTCTGGCTTCATTAGTGAACTTTGAGCCATCATTTGCAGGCAGCTCTCTGCCTCTCTCACGTTATTATGGCGCGCGCCGGAACCAACAACCAGTTTTTACCGTAAATGAGTTCGGTTCAGAGGACAAAACACATACAACATTAATTCAACTCGATATTTGTTCACTTGCATTTCACTTTGAATGCTTGGATATTCTCAATGGGTGAATACTTTTTTTTATAATAATAATACATTTTAAAAAATGACACCGAAGCTTTCTCAGGGTGGGCCAATGAGTCAACTGGCCCACCCAGTTGACATTGACGGACGGACACTATTGACGGACGGACACTATCATTTACATTTTTTTACTATGTTCAATCTGAATTTACATTCAAATTAAAAAAATCTATATTGATTCTGACTTTTCTACATCCAACTCACAGGTTTATTATTGCTTTGAGAAAAAAAAGATTATGCATTAACCCTTTTAGAAGGGAAGATATGGTCATTTGTTCTGGGAATGACATTTTCGAGCCTGAAAAACAGGCTCAGGGCTCAACACGTTAACAGGTGAAATAACATTATTTCACCTGTTAACGTGTTGAGCCCTGAGCCTGTTTTTCAGGCTCGAAAATGTCATTCCCAGAACAAATGACCATATCTTCCCTTCTAAAAGGGTTAANCAACAAAAACCTCTTCTGGGGCCATTTGGGTGGATTTTCCTTATCTCTGGCCCCCCTTGCTCGATTTTGACATGTGACGTCTCTTTCTGACCGTTAAGCAGCGTCCACATGGCGGCGTGCGTTGAAGCTTGCCGGCAGGCGTGTCTGAAGCTCGACAAACAACCAATCACATGAATCTTCCGCCCCGTACACACAAGCACACGGTTTCATTGGCTAGAGCTTGTACTGGCATATGATTCGATTGACTGACGCTTCCGTTGAAGCTTCAAAAGTCGAACATTGCTCAACTTTTGAAGCGAGCAAAGCGAAGCGACGCTCCCACGCAGTTTGGCAAAGTGTAACGTCACCCCATTCAAATTGAATGGGCAGAAGCGTTGAAGCGTCAACGCACGCCGCCGTGTGGACAGGCCGTTAGAGCCAATAGAATCGAAGGGAAAACGTCCCGCACACACTCATGTTAAAAAAAAAAGTGGCGTCTTTGCGCATTCAATCTTCCTACAGAGCGAAGGAATGGCCTGCTCTGATATTTGAAAACGGAATTGCAGTTTTATTTCTTATAGATTATCATAACATTTCAAAGGCGACACAGTCACATTGGATATTAACCTATGGATTAACTACAGCATAGTTTTTATCGCCATTGAAGACCAGTTTTCTTTTTTAAAAGAAAATGAAAAAGATCAGTTAAATTAGTTTTTTCCCGTTATATGGATATAACATATTCAGAGTTTATTAAATATTAAGGTTCCTTAGACCTTGTTTCCTGCAAATGACGCGATTTCGGCCCCGGAACCGGGTCCGTGGGGCTTACGAACAAACTAAATGTGACAATCATTATACCATCTATACTTTATATGAAGCAGAATGCACCACAACAAGTATAACATTAAACATGGGGGAAGCCACATACAGTATACACTTTTATTTTTACCAAAATGAGTTTATGTAAGATTGTGAAATACTGGAAAACCTGATTAAAATAGCCACTGAACTCATTTAACATTGCAGGTAAAGGTGAATGCCTTTCTGTTTTTTGTTTTTTTGTAAAGGTGCACCAGCTGGGATGGTAAACATGGAAAGATTCCATGGTGGTGACCTAAGTGTTTTATATATATGTTACTTATTCGACAGGTTTACTTTGAGTCCAGTGTGTTGTAATGATGATCAGTAAAATTCCCTGTTGCTTTAATGCATTATAGTTTCACTTTAGGCTGCATCCGGTATCAATAAGCTTTATCTGGTGAGAACATTAGCATGAATGAATTTGAATCTTTACCACTTAAAACAAAAGCCAGATGTTCGTGGTTGTTTTATGCATTTTTTTTTACCAGTGGGAAAGAAGCTGTAATGTATAAGCCTATGTATGATGCCTGGAGCAACAGATAAAAAAATGGTGCTTAATAGAGGAATATTCTGAATATTTCCTGCCATGTAATCTTCAGATGTGGATCAGTGATAAATATCCTGACGCTTAATTGTGGTTTATTCCATTTGAAAAGCTGTCACATTCTGTTTTATCTAAGAACAAATTAGACCCATTCCTACACACAAATTAGGCATCAAAAGAACATGAAGATATCGCTTTCGACAGGACTAAGTTAAAAGCATAGATAAAGTTACAAAGCAGACCATTCTAGAAAACCTGTAATCATATGTATACTTACAGATATGTATCAGTGTTTAACCAATTGAAGGGTAGATTGTATCATATCTACTTTTCAAGTGGCTGCACATCTGGATAGATTTAGCTGCATCTAACCATTGCCATTTCACGTGTACCAACGCCAACTGTAAAAGGGTGGAACTTAGTTTTTAATCAGCTAATAAAGCCACTTTTCCCCCATGAGACTATCTAATAATAGTCCATTTGTAAATAACATTACACTGAATATATTGTTCTTAACCTTGCACTATTCTTCCTAATAAAACTCCCTTTTTGTAATTTTGACTTTTGGACATTGGAAACTTGCAAAAAAGATCTGAAAAGGACTACAAAGAGAGCTGTTATTTTGATGAATTGCCGGTCATTGACCACTGGACGCATTTAAAAAGAGCTTAATTATTGACAGTGGCTCTGCTCTCTATCACCATGTAAATCCCTGTGTATATAATACCAAAGCTACCTCTCCAACAGCTTAGACAGCTCATTAATCAACTGATCATACACCATTCTTTCCAAACCCTATCTGTGCATTGTCATGTAATGACAATCATTTAAGACTACAGCTGAATAGTGCAAGAGAACTATGCAACACTCCTTTTAATGCATTGGATTAAACAGACATGTGGATTTGAGAGAAAGCGGGAAGACACTAAAGGCTGTAAAATGGATTATGGCTTAGGATGCTGACTTCTAACTGTAAGAACAATTTGTTTGTCTGCTGGCAGCCGCGATGCGTTTCCTCAGGGGAGCAGGAGGTCACTGGGAGGTGACGGACTGAGCTGCAGCCAAGACACAATAAGCATTTCAATCTTCTTCCACTCTGATCTTTCATTTGGTTTCCACGCGCGAAGAGGGGATCTTAAACCCTGGCTGTTATAAATGACACTCCAGGCATTCCCATTGTTTGTCTTTGGGCTTTTTAGAGAATCATCAAAATACAAAGTAGGCTAGTAGTCTGCTGTGGGGACGAGCCGGGCCGGTCCTCAGGGACCACACTGAGCTCTGCTGACCACCCGAGCCTCCATCACACTGCTCTTTTTTCTGGTACAATATGTTTTCTTGTATACCAATATGTGTATGTGTTTTACCAAAGCAAGCTTTTCACAGTACAATAAATGCTACCAAACTTGAATAGTGAATAGTTTTTAATTTGTGCAGATGGTTGGATGAAAAGATTTTTATTTCTCCATCAGTGCTATCAATCTTCTCATCTCATTCTCAGCAAGAAAGCAGGCGAGTTTAACTGTTTATCAACTTTTAATAACCTGTTAAGCCCCAAAGCCCCCCTCGGCGGGTCCTTTTTTTTCTTTTTTTCACGACACTGTGTCTCAGGCAGTGGCATAGCCACCATAGGGCCAGGGTGGGCCCAGGCCCACCCAGTTTACTCATTGGCCCACCCTGAGAAAGCTTCGGTGTCATTTTTTTATTTTTTATTTTTGTATTATTATTATTATAAAAAAATGTATTCACCCATTGAGAATATCCAAGCATTCAAAGTGAAATTCAAGTGAACAAATATCGAGTTTAATTAATGTTGTATGTGTTTTGTCCTCTGAACCGAACTCATTTACGGTAAAAACTGATTGTTGGTTCCGGTGCGCGCCATAATAACGTGAGAGAGGCAGAGAGCTGCCTGCAAAATAAATGATGGCTCAAAGTTCACTAATGAACTTTAGTTTTTTTTTAAAAGCCAGACTCCAAGAAGAGCCCCCACTGCCCTCATCTAGCAGCGATCTATACGATCATTTTCTGATAACGATGAAATAGCCCCCGCCTCCCTCTCCCCCACGTCTCCCCTCCCCACCTCTCTGCTGCTGGGCCTGTCACAAGAAAAAAAATGTTAACGGGAAACTCTGCCACACGGTTCCTCGTCGCGCGCGGTTGGAAGAGGCGGATAGGTGGGGTTTTTCGTCTGCTGGTGGACAGTCCGGAGAGATATACACAGGGTTGGTTGTAACGGATACATGTAACGGCGTTACGTAATCAGAATACCAAAAATCAGTGATATTCAGCTGGCCGTTCAATCCAATTCAAAACCTTTATTATCCAGTGAAATCCCATTGAGATCAATATCTCTTTTTCAAGGGAGAGCTGCAGCGTAGGTTCCACATGAAGAGCAACAACATAAACAACGAACACAAAAAGGACATCATACAACAACATTTACAGGGATTACAAGGTTACATATCTATCCACATGTACAGTACCAACAGCATCTGATTGTGAGCATCCAACGAGCTTAAAACATGTAGTGGAACCGATTGGTAATTTTCCATTCTTTTTGCAGACTGTTCCAAGTAGTGGAGCCTGCACATCTAAAGCTTGTGAGACTGAACGCATAGCCCAAAAACCGGAAGCTGCGATACTCTGGGGTGCTGATGGTAGCACCCAGGAGTTATCGCAGCTTCCGCGTCGGCTAGCGCAGTCTCACACCACACAGTTACCAATAAGGAGTATGGGAGTTCCCCTTGATTCCATTGGCTCTTGACGGTTAGAAAGAAGATTGTCAATCAGCAAAAATCGAGCAAGGGGGGCCAAGATGATATGGAAAATCCACCCAAATGATCCCAGAAGTGTTTTTTTTTGCTAATCTCTCTAAA